CATTTTTGCAATCGATTGTTGAATAACCTTCTTGCTAAATATGGAGTTCGCCACAGAGTTGCTACAGCATATCATCCGCAGACAAGTGGGCAAGCTGAGGTGTCAAACAGGGAAATCAAGCAAATATTAGAGAAGACGGTGAGTGTGAATAGGAAGGATTGGGCTGCAAAGTTGGATGATGCCCTATGGGCCTATAGGACCGCATATAAAACGCCAATTGGAGCGTCCCCTTACAAGCTGGTTTATGGGAAGGCCTGCAACTTGCCCGTTGAGCTTGAACACAAAGCATACTGGGCCATTAAGAAGCTGAACATGGACCTTGAAATCACAGGTAAGAAAAGACTTATGCAGTTGAATGAGTTAGACGAGTTCAGGCTGCACTCTTATGAAAATTCCAAGCTATATAAAGAAAAGACAAAACGATGGCATGACAAGCATATCAAGACACGTCACTTTGAGCCAGGACAACAGGTATTGTTATTCAATTCTAGACTACGGCTGTTCCCTAGGAAGCTAAAGTCGAGATGGTCAGGTCCTTTTGAGGTGGTGAGAGTCACTCCTTATGGTGCAATCGAGCTGCGAGCTTTAAATGGTGAGAGGACATTCTTGGTGAATGGTCATAGAGTCAAGCACTATTGGGGAGGAATGATTAATCGTGAAAAGACCAAGGTTGAACTCGCTGATCAGTAAGCGAGACTTTGCATCATGCCGCGACGTTAAATCGGGCGCTAGATGGGAGGCAACCCATTGAATTGTTGTAAACGTCGTGCCACGACGTTAAATAAGGCGTTGGTTGGGAGGCAACCCAATGATAGTAGTAGTTGTTGATTTTGTGTTTTAGAAAGTGCTAACCAATGCAGGTGACAATGAACAAGTGCTAAGGCCGTCAAACGAGGTAAGGACAGGTGAAAAATTGAGAAAAAAAAATTCCGCCCAGGTGCGCGCCCGCGCATGTGAACGCGCATCTGGGCGCGCTAATCTGCACAGATTCTGTCTTGGCCGCGCTAAAACTAGCGCGACCGCGCACCTGGGCGCGCTTCTGAACGCGAAACTAGCACGCGCACTTGGGCGCGCTAATTTCTCCAGGATTCTATTGTGGCCTCGCTAAAAGTAGCGCGACCGTGCATCTGGCCGCGCTAGTTCCGTCAAATTGTCGCCAGTTTTTTTTTTAGTAGCTTAAGTTTTTCTTTTCCTTTTCTACTTTTATTTTGTTTAGGTTTTAGTTCCCCCCCTTCTAAACCCCCCGTTCAACAAAAGACACCCACCCCTCCTCTAACTCTCCCCTATTCAAACAAAAATCAAAACCCCTGCTCCCAAATCCTTCCCCCATCTCACGATTCTTCCCCCATCCCAGGCTCCCCGTCTTCGTCCCCATTCTCCCTCTCCACTCACCACCATTGTCCATCACAGGTTTTAACCTTAGTTTCTTTTTCTTCTCTTTTTCTTCTTTTTTTCTATTTATATTTTTTTCAGATGTTGTTTGTATGCAAATACCTTAGGTTTAGTAGTTGTACTTCGATTTTGTGTAGAGCATTTGGTGCAATAAGTTGTGGTGTTGGTGGGTGATAAGTGTGGGGTGGAATTCCACTTGATTTGTGATTTTGGTGAGAGTATAGGGTGTATTATTGTTCTAAATAGCTTAAAAGGAGTTGTGAAGGTCTAATGCATACAAGGTGTTCGTGGAAAGGCCCGAATGAACGTAATTATGTAATTTGTGACCACCTATGCGTGTGAAGTCTGAGTAACCGCATTGCGTCACAAATTTTAGTTGGGTTGTGCTAATGCGTTTTCGTTTTGCAGGTATCATGGCTCCACGAAGGAAACGACAAGCCACAGGGGCCTTCTCGAGCAGCCAGGCTGGTTCGGCTAGGTCAAGAGGGGCTGCACATGCACATTCCTTTGATGCTACAAAATTTGTTTCAGCCGCAGCTCAGGACCGTTTTACGGAAAAAGACTCGTAGAAATCCAATTCCAAAGAGGAGTATTCACGTCGGATGGCTCCAGCACCACTGCTCGCGCATGTATAATGAATTGGTGAGGCGAGGGTTGTAAACCTTCATCAATGAGCCCGGTGAGGGCAATGCAATGGTTGTGCGGGAGTTCTATGCCAATGTACCGGAGCATGTTAATGGAGTAGTCACGGTGCGTCGCAGGGCGGTGAATGCTTCTGTTGAGGCAATGCGGACAGCCTACCAATTGCCTCCACCGCCGGATGCTGGTGATTACTTCTATGAGTACGGCCGCCACCCAATGAACGACGGAAAATGGGCACGATTTTTTGAGACAATTTGTGTGCCCGGAAAAGAAGTGGTCTGGATGGACTATGGGGAGAAATTCCACTCCTCAGTACTCACCTTTGAAGGGAAGTGCTGGTTGCACCTCATCAACAACCGCTTGATTCCATCTCACAATACTACAGAGGTAAATGGGCCCCGAGCTACCTTGATTTGGTGCTTTGTAAATGGTTACGACTTCGATGTGGCCAAGGTGATGCATGATGAGATATTCGTCCGAAGTCAAGTCAAAAGGTATAGGTTCTTTTTCCCCTCTCTAGTGACTCAACTATGCAGGGATGCTCGGGTACCCGAAAATCTAGCTGTGGATGGGTTGGTACGAAAGGAGGGCAAGTTCCGTGCTGATAAGGTGACCACGGGCAAGGAGCCGGAAGTAGTAGAGGCGGCGGCGAGTAGTAGTTCTGATGATTCTGATGATGAGGAGGATGCTGAGGACAGTGTGGAGGCAGCACCACAGGCTAAGGAGTGCGTTGTAGCAGCTGCAGGACCATCTGGGACTGCGACATATTCAGGAGCTGCTCGGGTGTCCCGTTTCACTGCTTTGGAGCAGGAGATGGCTGGTTTGCGAACCTCCATGACTGATTTGGGCACACGAGTAGACGCGGTAGCTGACCGACAAGTGAAGTCGGAAAAGAAATTCATGGGCTGGCTGCGAGCTCTGGGTCGTGCGTGCAACGTCAACCCAGACACTGTCTCCGACCAGGAGTGACACTTCAGGGAAGTTCCTTCACCTCACTGCTCTTTCAAATTTTAAGCCATGGGGACATGTCTTCATTTTAAGTGTGGGGTGGGGGTACTTCATTGTATGTATGTAGTTGTATCATTTGAATGTTGTTTTTGTTGTGTTTTATTTGACTTTGATAGTTTTGGTGTTAAGTAGGAAACAATTAGTTTAAAGTAGATAAGTGGCTCGTCCCGATGACGGATCCCTTTCGGCGGGGTTCTTGAGGGACTAAGTCGAAAAGAAAAAAAAAATCGGGAAAATATGTAGACTCTTCCCGACGACGGATCACTTTAGACAATGTTCTTGAGGGAAGTTAGTCTAGAGAAAACACCAAAAAGATTTTTTATTTTTTTAGGTAGTGTAGCAACTCCCCCTTGGTTTTTCTTTGGGCCACGGTTCTTTTTCAAGGGTTTTAACTTGAACCGGGTATAGGTAGTTTTTTTATTTTGTTTTCTTTTTGATTTGTAGAGTAGGTTAATGGGCTACGAGCTAGAAAATCAAGAGAGAACCCATAGCGTTGACACACTTGAACATAATAGACCTTAGAGTGTAACGCTTAGTCTTATTTGTTGAATCTCACTAAAGTGCCTTAATTTGTATGTTTGTTACTGAATTGAATGCTCGTATTGGAGCGTCTTGATGAGGTGATCTGGAATGAATCATATGCCATGTGTGGTGAGGTTTTTGTGTAGTCCATGCTTTGTACTTGTGTCTAGAACTTGCCCGGTATGTGAGTTGAAGCGAAATTTGAGGTGATGCTCGATGTGAAAAATGATTTTAGGCTTTCTTTGATCTTTTTGAGCTTAATTGCTTATCACAAATAAAATTTATCCCTAGTCAACCCTTTTGAGCCTATAGACTTTTATTTGGTACCCACATTACAAGCCTATACCCTTTTTGTTCTTAATTGACATTGTTTTGATCCCTTTTACCTCTTAAAGCACTTTAATTGTGAGATGAGCGCTAAAAGAAGTAAGAAGAACTAAGTGTAGGGGTGGCTTTTGAGTGAAACCAATAAAAGGAAGAAAGGTGCACTTGATTTGTAGAATAATACACCACTAGCAGAAATTGGAAAATTTTGAAAATTTCAAAGAAAAAAAAAAGAAGAAGAAGAATAATCTGAAAAAAAAAATAGAGATGAATAAATTTTTGGCTTGTTCTTGCTAGTGGGGTATAAATTAAAGTGGTGCTTAAAGAAAGAGGGAACATTGTTGGGAGTGATTTTAGTTGTGAAATTGGAGTTGGGATTGAAGAATGTGCGCTCAGAGTGATTATGTGATGTGTTAAAGTGCTTAGGAGGGTGAACCACTATTCCTAAATATATCCTACCCGTCCCTTAGCCCACATTACAACCATGAAAAAGTCCTAATTGATTTTAGATCGAGTGAGCCTACATTAGTAGAGATTTACATTAAGGTCAAGCTTATGGTACCAATTCCATGCATGTGACTTCTTTTGTGAGGGTGAGCGATTTTCTTTGATATATGTGAGCATGAGACTCAATTGTGTGGATTGATTTTATTCCCCCTACTGTGATTGTGAGGGCATGTGATTCGTGAAGGAAAGGCAAGTCTTGACTTTTGTGTGGAGTACTTTGAGGAAGTATGAATATTGCATGGCATTTGAGAGTCAACTTTTGTTCCTAGGATTGTTCACTGCTAGGTGTAATGTATGTAAGTTGTTCTGGGTGTAATGCGTTAGGGGATATGGTTGAGTGAAGGAACCTCTAGAAAGTATAGGGTGATTTCTCGAGGACTAGCAATGAATTAAGTGTGGGGTGTTGATAAGAGGCTGCATTTAGGTAATT